CTCTGTATGCACTTTTGTCATGTTCCCCTGCCTGCCTCAGGTGAGACTAATAGCCTGCCAGCACTTGGACGTGACTCCTGTCAGGCACCAGTCTTGCTAATTAAGTACTTTTGGCTGTCTCAGCATCAAACTCTGGGAGCACAAGAGAGATAAAAGCAAGCCACAGAGAGATCACAAGAGTCTGTGTCGTTGAGGACCTGGTCCAAAACGAAGAAGCAGGACCGTCACAGGGGGGTTGCAGTGTTCTTCTAAAATGGTTGGTCCATAAAAGACAAAGGTATAGGTGTGGAGGAAAGGAATGATGGGTTTCTGTCTCTGCTAAATTATTAGTTTATTTTGAAGAGGACAGTAATACAGCATGGGGGGATTATCAGTGCGAGCCAGCACCACAGGGAGCCAAATTCTCACTCTTTCACAAACCAGACCTCATTGCGTCGCCCATAAGGCTTCATAGGGGGGTCGTAACCATTGCAGAAGTAGAAATCCTTGCGGTATGCAGCTTCACTTCCCAGAGCAGACTTCAGCTTGGCAGCATGGATCACATAATCTGTCTCTTTGGCATAGCCGCCAAACTGCCTGCAAAGAAATCAAACACAGAAAGGTCGGGAGGGAGAACAATATATAGCCACAGTGTATTTACCAAGCATTTCAGTCCAGGTCCCACCAACATGCACTTGTGCAGGCACTGTTCTCTGTGAACCAGTGCACATTATCGTGATAGATTAAGTCCCAAGGGTTGCAGAGCCAGGGTGCAGTCATTCATTGGCAGACCCCAAACAGACACGTCTATCTGTTAGCAGAACGGCCCTGCCCTTTGAGTCACCGCCATATCAGTGGAACAGCTTACTAGAACATGAGGTTATCTCTAAGTCTGCTCAGCCCACAGTCCTCACACCAATGCTGTCAACAACCATGTTCACTGTGGTGTGAACAAGAATCTGCTGGAGGTCAGGTCATGAAGGGAAGCCAAACTCTAGCTAGCCTAACAAAAAGGGGAGGTAGGAACAGAGATGTTAGCAATTACAGGCCACAATACTATTTAAAAGGGGTGGACTGGAACTGGTCTGTTTTATGTTGACCCCCCCATCAGGGGACCAGTGCCACTCACTGCAGGCTATAGGATGTTGCAGCAGCTGTGGTCTTTTAACCCCTTTTCCCTCTTGCTGACAGCACTGACCCTGTACCCACTGCAAAGAGAGATTGCCAACTGCAAAGGACAGGAAAAATAAAAGAAACATCATCTGTGCTCTGGGTCAGCATTGTCAGTGTTCTCTGCTCTGGTGGAACATGCTTAGCCTCTGAAGGAGTGCAGCCTGAAGGCCCACAGTTTGCAATCTGGCTGCAGGGATTTCCTTTCGGTTCATCTATTGAAAACCACCTCAGAAATGACAGCAACCTGGAGATTCCAGTCATGCTTTTGCAGGAGTTCTTTCTACTTGGTTTGCAGTGACATTACAGCAGAGCAATGCAGAAAGGATGGAGAGCAAGGGGACAGCCTTGCCAGGGTGGTTCAAACTGTCAGTGATGTTTTAACACCTAGGTTCAGCATCGCTGCAAGGCGCACTATCAGCAGAGTTAAAGGCAGTCCTGATGTTAAATTATTTGCTAAATAAAAGTGGATTTACATGCTTTTTTGGCTTGGTGTTGTAATTGGGGAAGAAATGCTTTTTAAAGGATTTATTGGTGGAAGATTTTATTAGAGACAGTTTCAAGATTCATGGTCCCTTAAAAAATACAATTTAATAATGACCTTAATACTTTAAAATAAGGAGTAAAATAGTTTATGAGTACTTTTACTTATTTTACCCTTACATTGTTCCTATACTTGGCTAGTTCAAGTGCAACATCATTCTTATGTAGAGTATTAACTGGTATTTTGTTTTATGCCACGTAATCTTTTTTACGTTTTAAATTCTAAAACCACAATGAACATTCTGTAAAAAGATCAGAAAAGAAAGTCAAAAGAATTGCTAATAATTAATTAGAAATCGTTAACTTCTCAGTGAAGGAATGGCAAATTGACTTGAGTTTTAGGTGATGTCAGATAAAGCACAAGAACAGTTTCTCTGACCACCTGATACACTGTAAATTAACACCCTAATACTGAGATAATCTCTGCTTGTCGTGTACAGATATTGAAAAGATAAAGAGCAATTCAGAGGCATTAGAGGAGACATAATGTACATATATCGTACAAATAATCTATCTGGCAGTGGTTTAGACCAAATGTGAGGAAGAGGTGATCAGTGGGGTGTGTTAGGCTGTGGAGGAGATTTACAGTTGGTTAACTAGTGGAAATCTCCATTTGTAAACTGCATACCATCACAGTTAGGGGGAAGCAATTTCAAATCATTAAGTGACAGGATTAGTGGGACCATTCAGTGTCTTTTCCTGTCTCCAAGATATGTACGTAAACAAAAGAAATCCCTTGCTTCATTTGGCAGAATTTTTCTTCTTTTTTTTTTCTTTCAGCCCTTATGATAGTCTGCCTCATACTCTTTTCATTTGGTTTTGAGTGGTTTGTGTGTGTGGGTTGCAGGTGAAGCAGAGTGTGGCCTGCGCTTCTGGCTGGCTTTGGCTTCAAGGTTGAGGTATCAGTAAATTTCACCCATTTATTAAAATTGGGAATGAGATCCAATGAACACCACCTTAAAAAAACTTTCAGGAGGGCTCTGAAACTTCAGGATGGTCAGTTCAGGTCTGTGTCTGACTGTCAAGACTGGAGACACTGGGTCAGCAGAATCTCTGGGGGAGATGATTTGCACAGTATTCTTGTAGATTCTTGTTGGTACCTATGTATGGTGAAACTGGATAGCATTCAGATCTTTTAGTTTTCTAAACTCACCTTTTAAGCTCGAATAATATAATTTGGGGTATACATACCTCATTTGAGTAAAATATTTCTTCACCACCATTGTGATCCTTAGCACTGCCAAATGACTGAGAATGTAGAAGCGTTAGATTTCTAATATTTGTCTTTGAGGAACTGATCCAACACTTGCTGTCTTCAAGAAATTTTTGAATTGGGAGTCTAAACCACATTGGTGAACATGATCTTAACCTCCCAGAATTAGTGTGGAACTCACTGTTTAAAAGAGAGAGCCAGTGCTGGAGCAGACGGCTGAGCTGGTCAGGAATCATCTGGCAGGTGGCCAGTGCTGGGCAGGAGGGTGGCTGTGCTCTGGTTTATGGCGAGATGCCAGATGCAAAGTCTAATGATGGCTATCGTACCTTGAAACTGATTACAAAGCTGAATTGTGCTAGTGCTTGTCAGACATAAACCCAGTTCCTAAGTTTTGTTATTTTACAGGTTTTGAGCAGTGAGAATTCACTTTTTAAAGGTTGTGGGTTTTTTCTGCAACTGTAAGGGCTAGAAACGTCTATAAAACCTGGAGTTCTTCTGAAATTTATATGACTCCAAAACCAGAGTTTGTTTCCTGTGCCTTTACTTTTTATGTTGAGCTCCTGTGTAAGAGTATGTACCTCTGAACAGAACTTTTCTAGTCTAGAAGACTACATGCCCATAAGCATATAGATGGGGTAGGAAATCAGAGGGAGGTAGTCAGGACTTAGAAGAAGAATTGTAGAGGTGAACTTGGAGCAGTTTATCATACACACACACAAAAAAAAAGTGTTTTCTGAAAATCACAGGAGTTTGATAGGATTGATCTGTCCCTGAATTTTTAGTGAAGCAGTCGTTATTTTTGATTCTTCTTTCATGGGGTTGCTCCTTTAAAAATTCTTCATGCAGAGCCCTACAAAGTCCTTCTTGACTTGAATTTGGAATAATGTAAGTCGTAAGTGACTGAAAGAAGCCTGTAAGATAAGCAGTAGCTAAATTTCTTCAGTCTACCATCAGGCCTTTGCATATAATGCAAAGTTCATTTTTCCCTTCTGGTAGGAGTGGAAATATTTGATTATAGAAGTGGATAGTTGTTAATTTTGTAGCAGTTTTAGTCACTAGCTATGTTCCCAGAGCTCTCAGAGATATTTCTGGCTGTGTATCTACAATAAGCATATCTGAAAATGTTGTAGAAGGAAGGGGTCCAAATTATCTGAAAGATACCATGATTCATTCCTCCTCCCAATGAGACCTCTCTGGACAGACAGTTCTGAAGCCTGGCCATTCTATTTACATTTTTAGAGACTTCATGGAGAATGGCAACAAGACAGGTTGCATTGAAATCCTTTGACCTATATATTATTGAGAAAGCACAACAAATAATTGTCCCACAGTTTAGTATTCTTATAGGGAGTTGTAATGTCTACATGTGTTTATCAAGAATGTAGACAACATAGTTTAGTGTCGTTATTGCCTGAAACCTGACTACAATGTGGCATATTTTGGTTTGAAGACACCTTTTGTTATAGAGAGTTTTATTTGCATATGTGCAATAGGGTCCCTTTTTTTCAGACAAGGAAACCAGATTAGGAACCAGTAAGTGCCTGTGTCATGTGTATTTAGAGTCAGTATTTACCCTTCAGTGGTCTTTTCAGTGTTTGTCCACTCAGTAAACTGCTAGTTGTTTAACTAACTAAATGGGTATTTATCAAACAGATTTGAAATGATAGCATATGCAGTGAAACTGGGTTGGAAGTTGCAATCCTACTATATCTGTTAATCTCAGAAATTACTAATTTTAAATTATTTGAGTAACAGCTAAAACATAATTAAACTGAAGTAGTGTTGCAAGGCATGTTTCGGGAAACCTTTTTAAAGGTTTGTTTACTTTGAAACCTTTGTTTACTTTGTAAACCTGAAATAAAATGAAGCTTCTTTACTTCCAGTGCTACTGTGCACTTTCAAGGGATGGATCACAAATCCCACTTCAGATTTTCACATGCTGAGGTGAATAAACCCACTTAAGCGAACATCAACCTGAATTACTAGTGCTGGCACCTATGAAGCACTGACGTTCTGTAACACCGATATCTTAATAAGAAGCTGCTAGTAAACAAACACATGTAAGTCAGCATTTGGTACAGGAATATACTGGAAATGCAAAGTAAATTGTTTATTTTGGTGGGAGTGAATATTTTAGTTAAAGGAACAAAAAGAATACTACTGCATACAAAGTTCAAGAACAGTTAACACTGATAAAAATACTATTTTTATCATTCTGATTTCCCTAATGTTAATACCTGTCACAATTTATTATTTTAATAATTTTGTAGTTGGATTAAATCTGGCAAATATTTCAGCTGGGTCTTAAGTACAGAACTGCTTCTTCTGCCCTCTGTTATCCTACCGAGATGTATGGTAGGCGTTTATTGAATGACTGCATGGAAATAATGCTTCAACTTACCCTGCTTATGCCAGGTTGGAATTTTGATTAGTTAAGATGAAGATGTCTCCTCTGCCTACTTTGCCTTTGTAAAAGAGCATGTAAGATAAAGACTGAGTGCTTTGAGTTGCACAGATGATTCAATAATGTTTGTACTCCTTTTAGTAATGTTGGGATATGGTGCCATCATTTGTATCCTCATGAAACGTAATTAGGTATTGAATGTTTGCCTTCAGAAATGTTCAGCCTGAGCTGCTTTTTTTGAGAAGTCTGGCAGTGGACCATGAAGTGGAGCATACTCAGTTGCCTGCTGCATCGCATTCCACAATATTTTCTTCCTGAAATATTTAGTAATGTTTAATGATTAGTTAGTCTTACTTTGCTGCATCCTGCAGTTGAGACACATCAAACCACTTACCTATGTTCTTAAAAATATATTTAAGTGCCTAGCTCTGTCCAGTTTAGGGAGATGTTGGATGAAGTGATATGCTTGCCAAACTGGAGTAAGTGTGGAAACAATTATGGTAAAACCTGGAAGATCTTGACTGTCAATACTATGTGCTAGCCACTATCTTACAGTACTAAACATTTCAAAACCCTTTCTAAATTTTACATAATTATAAAAAGGCCTGGTAATTTCCTCCATAGCTGAAATACAACTAGCTAGCTCCATAGGATATTTTGTGGTTTGCACCTGTAGTAGCTTTCGGCTTAGAAGACACCCCAAATGAACAGTGCAGTAGGAGTATATGTATGGAAGTTTCAAGACAAATCACCTCTGTTTCTGCTGCAATGAACAAAAAAATTGGTTAAAAAATTATCATAGGGCCCCTTGCCTTTTTTCTTCATTTTTGTCTTCATCTTCTTTGCTACCTCCACCTTCTTGTATGATCCACTTTCTTTCACCAGAATACTTCTCTGACATTTCTGGAGTGTAGTTTTTCTGCTTTTTTGTTTCCTCCCTAGTGGTAAAATGCCAGAGTGTTTTTCTGCTAGAATTTTTCAGACTTCATTGTTCTGAACAAGACAATGATAGGATAGTGTTAATGTCCCTTTCCTGCAAGTACCCCACATTCAAAAAACAAAATTGGGAGGCAAATAGCTTGTGCTACGTTTGCAGCTATCCACTCCAATCTGGTGAACTTCCTCTAGTCATCCAAACAGAACTGGTTGGAGTAGGCCATATTGCTTCGTGAAGTTTAGTATCAGTGGGACTGATGCTTCCAGGGGCGGATCTAAACACACAGTGTCTGAGCTGCTTGGAGTGATAGTGTCACTAATACAGCCGTTGTCTTTTCAGGGCTCAGATAGTACTGCTGTGCCGTGATGCAGTCCTGCTGCTGCACCATGGGCACAAGAGCTGTTCATGAGAACTTTTACCTCTCAGTTCTCATTTGTATGGTGTATTTTCTGGATTTACTGAATCCTCCTGTGTGTCACCTGCCACACACAAAAACCTGTCATGTCTAAAGAATTTCTCTCTTCCAGTCCATCAGATTACTTTTGGAGGCAGACCTCAAACGTCATTGATAACTTGAATATGTAGGAATGCAGTACTTTGCATATAGACACTAAAAAGGCCTAATCAAGCAGTTCTTGATTTGCCAAATTTTATCTGTCAGCTTTCACTGACTGTCTACCTGGATGTTGAAGACACACCTCTGGCACACAATCAGGTGATCAGTCTGGGATCACTTTAATCCTGAAGCTGACCAGGAGGCACCTACCCAGAATATGTCAAACAGTCTATGTTGTATGTGAGACCTTTGATTCTGGAAATGACAGTGGGCTTTTGTCCATTGGCATGCCCATATCAGATGCATTTTAACTGATATCTAAAATAACACTCAAAGGCAGATGGGTCCATCCTGTGGCAAAAAAAAAAAAAATCAGAAGCAAGGTTCCTGACATTCTGGAGAAGGCACTGTTTACTGCACTGTACTGTTTACCTGAGCAGGCATTTCTCATATTTATACTGCTGCTGTGTGTGCATTCTACAAGCACTGAAGCAATTTAAGTTTTTCCCATAGAAATGCTCTGGACATTAAGATCATTAAGCTTGTAAACTGGAAGTTGTGCCTTTTACATAATGATTAGTAGTATGGTAGGAAAAACAGTGTCTCTACCAGTCTTTGGCTGTTGAACCTTGTTTTAAGAGGCTGCTTCTGCCCTTCTGATGCCACTGGTTAGTAACTTACTCCTACTTCTTATAGTGGATGGAATTGTGACTCCATCTAATCCTGCCATTGCAAGGGATGGAATTCAGTAATTTTTATGGTGCTTTCCCATTCTCTGTTCCTATGTTCATAAATCTGTGGTGGATTTATTTAAATGAAGCCAATATTTCAGCCATTTACAGAATAGAGGACTCCACCATGCCCTGTGTGCAACATGATTAAAGTTAGGAAGATATGGTCAGTAAGGAGTTAAATAATAATTTTAACCTTCAGGGCTAGGGCTGCACAAAACATGTTCAGGCTGAAATGATCTGAGTATTTGCTAATCTTGCTTAATTGCTGTGTCTTGTGAAAAGTGTTCCCTTCCCCCATGAGACTCATAACTCCAAAATGATGAAAATAGCTTCATAGCAAAATGTCAGCAGGCTAAATTAGCCCGGACAGACAGTCCTATAACTGCAGCTACAGCCTTGAAGTAATCTTCAGTTAACCAGGCTACTATTTCTTTAGAGACTGATTGCGTATTGTTTATCCTCACACATTATATTGTGCCACACAGGGAAACCCCAGGTTTTTTAAAACATTCTTCTGATACAAATCATAATTTTCCATTCCAGAAGCAATTCTCCTAAGCTTGTTTGACTTATCAGGCTGGTCTGTACAACCTGGGATATGAATCTTTAGTAGCAAATTCTTCCATTCGTTGTTCTCAGCCAATCCACAGATGGAAAAACACTGGGTAAACTGTAAGCAATGATGTTTGTTTAATGACTGTTTGCTGTTGAGAGTGCCCATGTGGCAGTAAATGAGTCAAGCTGATGAGATGCACAGACACCTGTACAGGTTTGTGTGTAATAAATAATTTTTGCAGAACATTTCATGGTGCATGAGCCAATGCGTGCTGCTGCATCCTTCACCTTGCACACCATTCCTGCTCAAGAACATGCTTGTAGCTGGGGAAGTTCACTGGTTACCCAGAAAAGCGGTAGAATCTCTAAATCATACTCTGCTGTGATTCAGGCGTCCTGTTGCAGTGTTGAGGTTAATGCCAGCTCAACAGTAGCACAAATGAAGGCAGATTTTCAAATTAGAAACACGAGTTTTGACAAGGCTGTTTTCCTTCGTGGGTGTTGGAATTTGTGTCGGGTATTTTGCCGATTGCTACTCGTGATGTTGATGGATCGCTCTAACCCATCTTTTTGCTGTTTCTGTTACCTCAGCTTCATCACTTTCTGATTTTGACATTTATGGTGGCTCAAGTTCTAATGTGTACATCAAGTAGCAAAACTGTTGTATCAGAGATTTTGCTTCTCTCAAACTTCATTATGCTGTGGAAATCCCAGTTCTCTGTGTAATCTGGTCCATGTTTTGAGTAGGCAGGAGCATGATTAGGCATGGCCCTTGCCATCACCTTCTCTCTGCATTGGTTGGACTCTTTATTACAACTTTTGTGACTTTTCTTATTTCCCTTTCCCTGACTCTGCTTACCATGGTTAAAATGATCTGATTTTGTGGAATCATAGAATCACAGAATGGTTTGAGTTGGAAGGGACCTTAAAGATCATCTAGTTCCAACCCCCCTGCTCTGGGCAGGGACACCTTCCACTAGACCAGGCTGCTCAAAGCCCCGTCCAACCTGGCCTGGAACACTGCCAGGGAGGGGGCAGCCACAGCTGCTCTGGGCAACCTGTGCCAGTGTCTCACCACCCTCACAATAAAGGATTTAATCTTTGTATCTGATCTAAATCTACCCTCTTTCAGTTCAAAACTATTACCCCCTCGTCCTATCACTACACTTCCTGATAACAAGTCCCTCCTCATTTTCCTGTTGGCCCCCTTTAAGTACTGGAAGGCTGCTATAAGGTCTCCCTGAGACTTCTTTTTTTTTAGGCTGAACAACCCCAACTCTCTCAGCCTGTCCTCATGGGAGAGGTGCTCCAGCCCCCTGATCATCTTTGTGGCCTCCTCTGGACCTGCTCGAACAGGTACATGTCCTTTATATGCTGGAGGCCCCAGAGCTGGACACAGTACTCCAGGTGGGGTCTCACAAGAGTGGAGGAGAGGGAGATGTACACCTCCCTCGACCTGCTGGTCATGCTTCTTTTGGTGCAGCCCAGGATGCAGTTGGCTTTCTGGACTGCGAGCACACATGGCTGGCTCGTAGTCAGTTTTCCAGCCTATACTACTCCCAAGTCCTTCTCAGGGCTGCTCTCAATCCACTCATCACCCAGCCTGTATTTGTCCATGGGATTGCCCTGACCCATGTGCAGGAAGGACCTTGCACTTGGCCTTGTTGAACTTCATGAGGTTCTCATGGTCCCAACTCTGCAGCCTGTCTAAGTCCCTCTGGATGGCACATCCCTCCAGCATGTCGACCGCACCACACAGCTTGGTGTCATCGGCAAACTTGCTGAGGGTGCATTGATTCTGCTGACCATGTCTCCAACAAAGATGTTAAACGTGCTGGTCCCAATACCGACTCCGGAGGAGTGCAATTTCTGTTCTGGTATCAACTATCCACTGTAGCTTTCTTCACAACCAAACACTGAACTTCTTAGGGATGAAGAAATCTGGTCAGTAGTCAGAGAATTATAATATAGTGCTTCTCTCCCTATTACTTCAGGACATTTTGCAAAAATGGACACAAAAAATAATTTACTGAAAGAACTGAAGAGAATTTTTAGTTAACACCCAAATAATTGCTAATAGCTTGGGGATGTATTTTTCAAACCCCCAAATTTCTGGGATTTTCTTAAATATTGTCTCAATTTTTTTCAAGTCAAATCTGTGCTTTAGTAAAAAACACCATGAGATTTCACTTTGGAAACAGAAGAGTAGGATCTGATTCTGATATTGCTACCATTGCTGATCAGTCCTTTTACATTTGTGGTTCTAGTGTCTTGTGACAGGCTTACTGTAGCAGAATGAAATCTAGAGTCTAGCCTTCCTTACAGTTTGCTTTGTAACTTTAGCAAGTTTGTGCAATATAGTATAATCCTTATGTGAAATCTTTTATATTTCCCCCTATCCGTTCCCACTCACACACATACCTTTGCATGCTTTCCTGTTCAGAATATGAAAAGTGTCCTGACTGTTTCTCTCTGTGAAGAGTTTTCCCAAATCCCATTAGGAAACTTGTAAAAATAAAACTTTAAAAAGAGATATTTTTGTTATTTTTTCCCAGATAATTTCATTTGTGCTGAAGAAAACTTATTTATCTTTTTGGGTATTTACTTAAAACCACTGTTTGATAGTAAATGCTGAAGTGCTGCTTTCTTTGTATCCAGCTCCTCATGATTCAGAAGTATCGATCACTGAAACAGTTACTAAAATTCTTAGTCAGTAGATGTAATTTAAGAGACCCAGACTGTCCAGAGGGCAGTAGACAAAGATCACTCTTAAAAATGCAAGACATATAAACTAATTTTTACCAACAGTTAATCAATAGCATGAAAAGTAGAAAACTTTTGACACAGTAAGAAGTTTAATTATTGTTCTGTTCATTCTGGTAGATAGAAGTTCCTCTAAATCTGTGCTGAAAGCAACAGAGTTTCATGTATTGTTATGAAACTTTCTGGGTCTGTCAGATCATGGGTGATCAGTTTTTTCTTTTTTGTTTTGGCCTCTTTCCCCCTTTTGGAGCTGGAATGTCCTCAGTGCATTTGGTGCTGTTTAATGCTATAAATGCACAGTGCCTAAATTTCCTTTGCTTTTTAAGCACACACTTTAAGAAACTTCCAGTGATATT